CCTCACGCGTTGCTGCAGTGAGCTCACGCCTTGCTGCAGTGAGCTCACGCCTTGCTGCAGTGAGCTCTCACGCGTTGCTGCAGTGAGCTCACGCCTTGCTGCAGTGAGCTCACGCCTTGCTGCAGTGAGCTCACGCCTTGCTGCAGTGAGCTCACGCCTTGCTGCAGTGAGCTCACGCGTTGCTGCAGTGAGCTCACACCTTGCTGCAGTGAGCTCACGCCTTGCTGCAGTGAGCTCACGCCTTGCTGCAGTGAGCTCACGCGTTGCTGCAGTGAGCTCACGCCTTGCTGCAGTGAGCTCACGCGTTGCTGCAGTGAGCTCACGCGTTGCTGCAGTGAGCTCACGCCTTGCTGCAGTGAGCTCACGCCTTGCTGCAGTGAGCTCACGCGTTGCTGCAGTGAGCTCACACCTTGCTGCAGTGAGCTCACGCCTTGCTGCAGTGAGCTCACGCCTTGCTGCAGTGAGCTCACGCGTTGCTGCAGTGAGCTCACGCGTTGCTGCAGTGAGCTCACGCGTTGCTGCAGTGAGCTCACGCGTTGCTGCAGTGAGCTCACGCCTTGCTGCAGTGAGCTCACGCGTTGCTGCAGTGAGCTCACGCCTTGCTGCAATGAGCTCACGCGTTGCTGCAGTGAGCTCACGCGTTGCTGCAGTGAGCTCACGCGTTGCTGCAGTGAGCTCACGCCTTGCTGCAGTGAGCTCACGCGTTGCTGCAGTGAGCTCACGCCTTGCTGCAGTGAGCTCACGCCTTGCTGCAGTGAGCTCACGCGTTGCTGCAGTGAGCTCACGCCTTGCTGCAGTGAGCTCACGCCTTGCTGCAGTGAGCTCACGCCTTGCTGCAGTGAGCTCACGCGTTGCTGCAGTGAGCTCACGCGTTGCTGCAGTGAGCTCACGCCTTGCTGCAGTGAGCTCACGCCTTGCTGCAGTGAGCTCACGCGTTGCTGCAGTGAGCTCACGCATTGCTGCAGTGAGCTCACGCCTTGCTGCAGTGAGCTCACGCGTTGCTGCAGTGAGCTCACGCCTTGCTGCAGTGAGCTCACGCCTTGCTGCAGTGAGCTCACGCCTTGCTGCAGTGAGCTCACGCCTTGCTGCAGTGAGCTCACGCGTTGCTGCAGTGAGCTCACGCGTTGCTGCAGTGAGCTCACGCGTTGCTGCAGTGAGCTCACGCCTTGCTGCAGTGAGCTCACGCCTTGCTGCAGTGAGCTCACGCGTTGCTGCAGTGAGCTCACGCCTTGCTGCAGTGAGCTCACGCCTTGCTGCAGTGAGCTCACGCGTTGCTGCAGTGAGCTCACGCCTTGCTGCAGTGAGCTCACGCCTTGCTGCAGTGAGCTCACGCGTTGCTGCAGTGAGCTCACGCGTTGCTGCAGTGAGCTCACGCCTTGCTGCAGTGAGCTCACGCCTTGCTGCAGTGAGCTCACGCGTTGCTGCAGTGAGCTCACGCCTTGCTGCAGTGAGCTCACGCCTTGCTGCAGTGAGCTCACGCGTTGCTGCAGTGAGCTCACGCATTGCTGCAGTGAGCTCACGCCTTGCTGCAGTGAGCTCACGCCTTGCTGCAGTGAGCTCACGCCTTGCTGCAGTGAGCTCACGCGTTGCTGCAGTGAGCTCACGCCTTGCTGCAGTGAGCTCACGCGTTGCTGCAGTGAGCTCACGCCTTGCTGCAGTGAGCTCACGCCTTGCTGCAGTGAGCTCACGCGTTGCTGCAGTGAGCTCACGCCTTGCTGCAGTGAGCTCACGCGTTGCTGCAGTGAGCTCACGCGTTGCTGCAGTGAGCTCACGCATTGCTGCAGTGAGCTCACGCCTTGCTGCAGTGAGCTCACGCCTTGCTGCAGTGAGCTCACGCGTTGCTGCAGTGAGCTCACGCCTTGCTGCAGTGAGCTCACGCGTTGCTGCAGTGAGCTCACGCCTTGCTGCAGTGAGCTCACGCGTTGCTGCAGTGAGCTCACGCGTTGCTGCAGTGAGCTCACGCCTTGCTGCAGTGAGCTCACGCCTTGCTGCAGTGAGCTCACGCCTTGCTGCAGTGAGCTCACGCCTTGCTGCAGTGAGCTCACGCGTTGCTGCAGTGAGCTCACGCCTTGCTGCAGTGAGCTCACGCCTTGCTGCAGTGAGCTCACGCGTTGCTGCAGTGAGCTCACGCCTTGCTGCAGTGAGCTCACGCCTTGCTGCAGTGAGCTCACGCGTTGCTGCAGTGAGCTCACGCCTTGCTGCAGTGAGCTCACGCCTTGCTGCAGTGAGCTCACGCCTTGCTGCAGTGAGCTCACGCGTTGCTGCAGTGAGCTCACGCCTTGCTGCAGTGAGCTCACGCGTTGCTGCAGTGAGCTCACGCCTTGCTGCAGTGAGCTCACGCCTTGCTGCAGTGAGCTCACGCGTTGCTGCAGTGAGCTCACGCCTTGCTGCAGTGAGCTCACGCCTTGCTGCAGTGAGCTCACGCGTTGCTGCAGTGAGCTCACGCCTTGCTGCAGTGAGCTCACGCGTTGCTGCAGTGAGCTCACGCGTTGCTGCAGTGAGCTCACGCCTTGCTGCAGTGAGCTCACGCATTGCTGCAGTGAGCTCACGCCTTGCTGCAGTGAGCTCACGCCTTGCTGCAGTGAGCTCACGCGTTGCTGCAGTGAGCTCACGCCTTGCTGCAGTGAGCTCACGCGTTGCTGCAGTGAGCTCACGCCTTGCTGCAGTGAGCTCACGCCTTGCTGCAGTGAGCTCACGCATTGCTGCAGTGAGCTCACGCCTTGCTGCAGTGAGCTCACGCCTTGCTGCAGTGAGCTCACGCCTTGCTGCAGTGAGCTCACGCCTTGCTGCAGTGAGCTCACGCGTTGCTGCAGTGAGCTCACGCCTTGCTGCAGTGAGCTCACGCGTTGCTGCAGTGAGCTCACGCCTTGCTGCAGTGAGCTCACGCATTGCTGCAGTGAGCTCACGCCTTGCTGCAGTGAGCTCACGCCTTGCTGCAGTGAGCTCACGCGTTGCTGCAGTGAGCTCACGCCTTGCTGCAGTGAGCTCACGCGTTGCTGCAGTGAGCTCACGCCTTGCTGCAGTGAGCTCACGCCTTGCTGCAGTGAGCTCACGCGTTGCTGCAGTGAGCTCACGCCTTGCTGCAGTGAGCTCACGCCTTGCTGCAGTGAGCTCACGCCTTGCTGCAGTGAGCTCACGCCTTGCTGCAGTGAGCTCACGCGTTGCTGCAGTGAGCTCACGCCTTGCTGCAGTGAGCTCACGCCTTGCTGCAGTGAGCTCACGCCTTGCTGCAGTGAGCTCACGCCTTGCTGCAGTGAGCTCACGCGTTGCTGCAGTGAGCTCACGCCTTGCTGCAGTGAGCTCACGCGTTGCTGCAGTGAGCTCACGCCTTGCTGCAGTGAGCTCACGCGTTGCTGCAGTGAGCTCACGCGTTGCTGCAGTGAGCTCACGCGTTGCTGCAGTGAGCTCACGCATTGCTGCAGTGAGCTCACGCGTTGCTGCAGTGAGCTCACGCCTTGCTGCAGTGAGCTCACGCGTTGCTGCAGTGAGCTCACGCATTGCTGCAGTGAGCTCACGCCTTGCTGCAGTGAGCTCACGCGTTGCTGCAGTGAGCTCACGCCTTGCTGCAGTGAGCTCACGCCTTGCTGCAGTGAGCTCACGCGTTGCTGCAGTGAGCTCACGCCTTGCTGCAGTGAGCTCACGCCTTGCTGCAGTGAGCTCACGCCTTGCTGCAGTGAGCTCACGCGTTGCTGCAGTGAGCTCACGCGTTGCTGCAGTGAGCTCACGCGTTGCTGCAGTGAGCTCACGCGTTGCTGCAGTGAGCTCACGCCTTGCTGCAGTGAGCTCACGCGTTGCTGCAGTGAGCTCACGCCTTGCTGCAGTGAGCTCACGCATTGCTGCAGTGAGCTCACGCGTTGCTGCAGTGAGCTCACGCCTTGCTGCAGTGAGCTCACGCGTTGCTGCAGTGAGCTCACGCCTTGCTGCAGTGAGCTCACGCGTTGCTGCAGTGAGCTCACGCGTTGCTGCAGTGAGCTCACGCCTTGCTGCAGTGAGCTCACGCCTTGCTGCAGTGAGCTCACGCCTTGCTGCAGTGAGCTCACGCGTTGCTGCAGTGAGCTCACGCATTGCTGCAGTGAGCTCACGCCTTGCTGCAGTGAGCTCACGCCTTGCTGCAGTGAGCTCACGCCTTGCTGCAGTGAGCTCACGCCTTGCTGCAGTGAGCTCACGCGTTGCTGCAGTGAGCTCACGCCTTGCTGCAGTGAGCTCACGCCTTGCTGCAGTGAGCTCACGCGTTGCTGCAGTGAGCTCACGCCTTGCTGCAGTGAGCTCACGCGTTGCTGCAGTGAGCTCACGCGTTGCTGCAGTGAGCTCACGCCTTGCTGCAGTGAGCTCACGCGTTGCTGCAGTGAGCTCACGCCTTGCTGCAGTGAGCTCACGCGTTGCTGCAGTGAGCTCACGCGTTGCTGCAGTGAGCTCACGCCTTGCTGCAGTGAGCTCACGCCTTGCTGCAGTGAGCTCACGCCTTGCTGCAGTGAGCTCACGCCTTGCTGCAGTGAGCTCACGCGTTGCTGCAGTGAGCTCACGCGTTGCTGCAGTGAGCTCACGCCTTGCTGCAGTGAGCTCACGCCTTGCTGCAGTGAGCTCACGCCTTGCTGCAGTGAGCTCACGCCTTGCTGCAGTGAGCTCACGCGTTGCTGCAGTGAGCTCACGCGTTGCTGCAGTGAGCTCACGCATTGCTGCAGTGAGCTCACGCGTTGCTGCAGTGAGCTCACGCGTTGCTGCAGTGAGCTCACGCGTTGCTGCAGTGAGCTCACGCCTTGCTGCAGTGAGCTCACGCCTTGCTGCAGTGAGCTCACGCCTTGCTGCAGTGAGCTCACGCATTGCTGCAGTGAGCTCACGCCTTGCTGCAGTGAGCTCACGCGTTGCTGCAGTGAGCTCACGCCTTGCTGCAGTGAGCTCACGCGTTGCTGCAGTGAGCTCACGCCTTGCTGCAGTGAGCTCACGCCTTGCTGCAGTGAGCTCACGCGTTGCTGCAGTGAGCTCACGCCTTGCTGCAGTGAGCTCACGCGTTGCTGCAGTGAGCTCACGCCTTGCTGCAGTGAGCTCACGCCTTGCTGCAGTGAGCTCACGCGTTGCTGCAGTGAGCTCACGCCTTGCTGCAGTGAGCTCACGCATTGCTGCAGTGAGCTCACGCGTTGCTGCAGTGAGCTCACGCCTTGCTGCAGTGAGCTCACGCCTTGCTGCAGTGAGCTCACGCGTTGCTGCAGTGAGCTCACGCGTTGCTGCAGTGAGCTCACGCCTTGCTGCAGTGAGCTCACGCGTTGCTGCAGTGAGCTCACGCCTTGCTGCAGTGAGCTCACGCCTTGCTGCAGTGAGCTCACGCCTTGCTGCAGTGAGCTCACGCCTTGCTGCAGTGAGCTCACGCCTTGCTGCAGTGAGCTCACGCCTTGCTGCAGTGAGCTCACGCCTTGCTGCAGTGAGCTCACGCGTTGCTGCAGTGAGCTCACGCCTTGCTGCAGTGAGCTCACGCCTTGCTGCAGTGAGCTCACGCCTTGCTGCAGTGAGCTCACGCGTTGCTGCAGTGAGCTCACGCGTTGCTGCAGTGAGCTCACGCCTTGCTGCAGTGAGCTCACGCCTTGCTGCAGTGAGCTCACGCCTTGCTGCAGTGAGCTCACGCCTTGCTGCAGTGAGCTCACGCGTTGCTGCAGTGAGCTCACGCCTTGCTGCAGTGAGCTCACGCGTTGCTGCAGTGAGCTCACGCCTTGCTGCAGTGAGCTCACGCCTTGCTGCAGTGAGCTCACGCGTTGCTGCAGTGAGCTCACGCCTTGCTGCAGTGAGCTCACGCGTTGCTGCAGTGAGCTCACGCCTTGCTGCAGTGAGCTCACGCCTTGCTGCAGTGAGCTCACGCCTTGCTGCAGTGAGCTCACGCATTGCTGCAGTGAGCTCACGCGTTGCTGCAGTGAGCTCACGCCTTGCTGCAGTGAGCTCACGCCTTGCTGCAGTGAGCTCACGCCTTGCTGCAGTGAGCTCACGCCTTGCTGCAGTGAGCTCACGCGTTGCTGCAGTGAGCTCACGCCTTGCTGCAGTGAGCTCACGCGTTGCTGCAGTGAGCTCACGCCTTGCTGCAGTGAGCTCACGCGTTGCTGCAGTGAGCTCACGCATTGCTGCAGTGAGCTCACGCGTTGCTGCAGTGAGCTCACGCGTTGCTGCAGTGAGCTCACGCCTTGCTGCAGTGAGCTCACGCGTTGCTGCAGTGAGCTCACTGCAGTGAGCTCACGCCTTGCTGCAGTGAGCTCACGCGTTGCTGCAGTGAGCTCACGCCTTGCTGCAGTGAGCTCACGCCTTGCTGCAGTGAGCTCACGCGTTGCTGCAGTGAGCTCACGCGTTGCTGCAGTGAGCTCACGCGTTGCTGCAGTGAGCTCACGCCTTGCTGCAGTGAGCTCACGCGTTGCTGCAGTGAGCTCACGCCTTGCTGCAGTGAGCTCACGCATTGCTGCAGTGAGCTCACGCGTTGCTGCAGTGAGCTCACGCCTTGCTGCAGTGAGCTCACGCCTTGCTGCAGTGAGCTCACGCGTTGCTGCAGTGAGCTCACGCGTTGCTGCAGTGAGCTCACGCGTTGCTGCAGTGAGCTCACGCCTTGCTGCAGTGAGCTCACGCCTTGCTGCAGTGAGCTCACGCGTTGCTGCAGTGAGCTCACGCATTGCTGCAGTGAGCTCACGCGTTGCTGCAGTGAGCTCACGCCTTGCTGCAGTGAGCTCACGCCTTGCTGCAGTGAGCTCACGCCTTGCTGCAGTGAGCTCACGCCTTGCTGCAGTGAGCTCACGCCTTGCTGCAGTGAGCTCACGCCTTGCTGCAGTGAGCTCACGCCTTGCTGCAGTGAGCTCACGCGTTGCTGCAGTGAGCTCACGCCTTGCTGCAGTGAGCTCACGCCTTGCTGCAGTGAGCTCACGCCTTGCTGCAGTGAGCTCACGCATTGCTGCAGTGAGCTCACGCCTTGCTGCAGTGAGCTCACGCGTTGCTGCAGTGAGCTCACGCGTTGCTGCAGTGAGCTCACGCCTTGCTGCAGTGAGCTCACGCATTGCTGCAGTGAGCTCACGCATTGCTGCAGTGAGCTCACGCCTTGCTGCAGTGAGCTCACGCGTTGCTGCAGTGAGCTCACGCCTTGCTGCAGTGAGCTCACGCGTTGCTGCAGTGAGCTCACGCGTTGCTGCAGTGAGCTCACGCCTTGCTGCAGTGAGCTCACGCGTTGCTGCAGTGAGCTCACGCCTTGCTGCAGTGAGCTCACGCGTTGCTGCAGTGAGCTCACGCCTTGCTGCAGTGAGCTCACGCGTTGCTGCAGTGAGCTCACGCCTTGCTGCAGTGAGCTCACGCCTTGCTGCAGTGAGCTCACGCGTTGCTGCAGTGAGCTCACGCCTTGCTGCAGTGAGCTCACGCCTTGCTGCAGTGAGCTCACGCCTTGCTGCAGTGAGCTCACGCCTTGCTGCAGTGAGCTCACGCGTTGCTGCAGTGAGCTCACGCCTTGCTGCAGTGAGCTCACGCCTTGCTGCAGTGAGCTCACGCATTGCTGCAGTGAGCTCACGCCTTGCTGCAGTGAGCTCACGCATTGCTGCAGTGAGCTCACGCGTTGCTGCAGTGAGCTCACGCCTTGCTGCAGTGAGCTCACGCCTTGCTGCAGTGAGCTCACGCCTTGCTGCAGTGAGCTCACGCCTTGCTGCAGTGAGCTCACGCGTTGCTGCAGTGAGCTCACGCCTTGCTGCAGTGAGCTCACGCCTTGCTGCAGTGAGCTCACGCCTTGCTGCAGTGAGCTCACGCCTTGCTGCAGTGAGCTCACGCCTTGCTGCAGTGAGCTCACGCCTTGCTGCAGTGAGCTCACGCGTTGCTGCAGTGAGCTCACGCCTTGCTGCAGTGAGCTCACGCCTTGCTGCAGTGAGCTCACGCCTTGCTGCAGTGAGCTCACGCCTTGCTGCAGTGAGCTCACGCGTTGCTGCAGTGAGCTCACGCCTTGCTGCAGTGAGCTCACGCGTTGCTGCAGTGAGCTCACGCCTTGCTGCAGTGAGCTCACGCCTTGCTGCAGTGAGCTCACGCATTGCTGCAGTGAGCTCACGCCTTGCTGCAGTGAGCTCACGCCTTGCTGCAGTGAGCTCACGCCTTGCTGCAGTGAGCTCACGCCTTGCTGCAGTGAGCTCACGCGTTGCTGCAGTGAGCTCACGCCTTGCTGCAGTGAGCTCACGCCTTGCTGCAGTGAGCTCACGCGTTGCTGCAGTGAGCTCACGCCTTGCTGCAGTGAGCTCACGCGTTGCTGCAGTGAGCTCACGCCTTGCTGCAGTGAGCTCACGCCTTGCTGCAGTGAGCTCACGCCTTGCTGCAGTGAGCTCACGCGTTGCTGCAGTGAGCTCACGCGTTGCTGCAGTGAGCTCACGCGTTGCTGCAGTGAGCTCACGCCTTGCTGCAGTGAGCTCACGCGTTGCTGCAGTGAGCTCACGCCTTGCTGCAGTGAGCTCACGCGTTGCTGCAGTGAGCTCACTGCAGTGAGCTCACGCCTTGCTGCAGTGAGCTCACGCGTTGCTGCAGTGAGCTCACGCCTTGCTGCAGTGAGCTCACGCCTTGCTGCAGTGAGCTCACGCGTTGCTGCAGTGAGCTCACGCGTTGCTGCAGTGAGCTCACGCCTTGCTGCAGTGAGCTCACGCCTTGCTGCAGTGAGCTCACGCGTTGCTGCAGTGAGCTCACGCGTTGCTGCAGTGAGCTCACGCGTTGCTGCAGTGAGCTCACGCGTTGCTGCAGTGAGCTCACGCCTTGCTGCAGTGAGCTCACGCGTTGCTGCAGTGAGCTCACGCCTTGCTGCAGTGAGCTCACGCGTTGCTGCAGTGAGCTCACGCGTTGCTGCAGTGAGCTCACGCCTTGCTGCAGTGAGCTCACGCGTTGCTGCAGTGAGCTCACGCCTTGCTGCAGTGAGCTCACGCGTTGCTGCAGTGAGCTCACGCCTTGCTGCAGTGAGCTCACGCCTTGCTGCAGTGAGCTCACGCATTGCTGCAGTGAGCTCACGCCTTGCTGCAGTGAGCTCACGCGTTGCTGCAGTGAGCTCACGCGTTGCTGCAGTGAGCTCACGCCTTGCTGCAGTGAGCTCACGCCTTGCTGCAGTGAGCTCACGCCTTGCTGCAGTGAGCTCACGCCTTGCTGCAGTGAGCTCACGCGTTGCTGCAGTGAGCTCACGCCTTGCTGCAGTGAGCTCACGCGTTGCTGCAGTGAGCTCACGCCTTGCTGCAGTGAGCTCACGCCTTGCTGCAGTGAGCTCACGCGTTGCTGCAGTGAGCTCACGCGTTGCTGCAGTGAGCTCACGCCTTGCTGCAGTGAGCTCACGCCTTGCTGCAGTGAGCTCACGCCTTGCTGCAGTGAGCTCACGCGTTGCTGCAGTGAGCTCACGCATTGCTGCAGTGAGCTCACGCGTTGCTGCAGTGAGCTCACGCCTTGCTGCAGTGAGCTCACGCCTTGCTGCAGTGAGCTCACGCCTTGCTGCAGTGAGCTCACGCGTTGCTGCAGTGAGCTCACGCGTTGCTGCAGTGAGCTCACGCCTTGCTGCAGTGAGCTCACGCCTTGCTGCAGTGAGCTCACGCCTTGCTGCAGTGAGCTCACGCCTTGCTGCAGTGAGCTCACGCGTTGCTGCAGTGAGCTCACGCCTTGCTGCAGTGAGCTCACGCGTTGCTGCAGTGAGCTCACGCCTTGCTGCAGTGAGCTCACGCGTTGCTGCAGTGAGCTCACGCCTTGCTGCAGTGAGCTCACGCCTTGCTGCAGTGAGCTCACGCGTTGCTGCAGTGAGCTCACGCCTTGCTGCAGTGAGCTCACGCCTTGCTGCAGTGAGCTCACGCGTTGCTGCAGTGAGCTCACGCGTTGCTGCAGTGAGCTCACGCGTTGCTGCAGTGAGCTCACGCGTTGCTGCAGTGAGCTCACGCGTTGCTGCAGTGAGCTCACGCCTTGCTGCAGTGAGCTCACGCGTTGCTGCAGTGAGCTCACGCGTTGCTGCAGTGAGCTCACGCGTTGCTGCAGTGAGCTCACGCCTTGCTGCAGTGAGCTCACGCGTTGCTGCAGTGAGCTCACGCCTTGCTGCAGTGAGCTCACGCGTTGCTGCAGTGAGCTCACGCCTTGCTGCAGTGAGCTCACGCGTTGCTGCAGTGAGCTCACGCCTTGCTGCAGTGAGCTCACGCCTTGCTGCAGTGAGCTCACGCCTTGCTGCAGTGAGCTCACGCCTTGCTGCAGTGAGCTCACGCGTTGCTGCAGTGAGCTCACGCCTTGCTGCAGTGAGCTCACGCGTTGCTGCAGTGAGCTCACGCCTTGCTGCAGTGAGCTCACGCGTTGCTGCAGTGAGCTCACGCGTTGCTGCAGTGAGCTCACGCGTTGCTGCAGTGAGCTCACGCCTTGCTGCAGTGAGCTCACGCCTTGCTGCAGTGAGCTCACGCCTTGCTGCAGTGAGCTCACGCCTTGCTGCAGTGAGCTCACGCGTTGCTGCAGTGAGCTCACGCCTTGCTGCAGTGAGCTCACGCGTTGCTGCAGTGAGCTCACGCCTTGCTGCAGTGAGCTCACGCCTTGCTGCAGTGAGCTCACGCGTTGCTGCAGTGAGCTCACGCGTTGCTGCAGTGAGCTCACGCCTTGCTGCAGTGAGCTCACGCATTGCTGCAGTGAGCTCACGCATTGCTGCAGTGAGCTCACGCGTTGCTGCAGTGAGCTCACGCCTTGCTGCAGTGAGCTCACGCGTTGCTGCAGTGAGCTCACGCCTTGCTGCAGTGAGCTCACGCCTTGCTGCAGTGAGCTCACGCGTTGCTGCAGTGAGCTCACGCCTTGCTGCAGTGAGCTCACGCCTTGCTGCAGTGAGCTCACGCCTTGCTGCAGTGAGCTCACGCATTGCTGCAGTGAGCTCACGCGTTGCTGCAGTGAGCTCACGCCTTGCTGCAGTGAGCTCACGCGTTGCTGCAGTGAGCTCACGCCTTGCTGCAGTGAGCTCACGCGTTGCTGCAGTGAGCTCACGCCTTGCTGCAGTGAGCTCACGCCTTGCTGCAGTGAGCTCACGCGTTGCTGCAGTGAGCTCACGCCTTGCTGCAGTGAGCTCACGCGTTGCTGCAGTGAGCTCACGCATTGCTGCAGTGAGCTCACGCCTTGCTGCAGTGAGCTCACGCCTTGCTGCAGTGAGCTCACGCGTTGCTGCAGTGAGCTCACGCCTTGCTGCAGTGAGCTCACGCGTTGCTGCAGTGAGCTCACGCCTTGCTGCAGTGAGCTCACGCGTTGCTGCAGTGAGCTCACGCCTTGCTGCAGTGAGCTCACGCGTTGCTGCAGTGAGCTCACGCCTTGCTGCAGTGAGCTCACGCGTTGCTGCAGTGAGCTCACGCCTTGCTGCAGTGAGCTCACGCGTTGCTGCAGTGAGCTCACGCGTTGCTGCAGTGAGCTCACGCATTGCTGCAGTGAGCTCACGCGTTGCTGCAGTGAGCTCACGCGTTGCTGCAGTGAGCTCACGCCTTGCTGCAGTGAGCTCACGCGTTGCTGCAGTGAGCTCACGCCTTGCTGCAGTGAGCTCACGCCTTGCTGCAGTGAGCTCACGCCTTGCTGCAGTGAGCTCACGCGTTGCTGCAGTGAGCTCACGCCTTGCTGCAGTGAGCTCACGCGTTGCTGCAGTGAGCTCACGCCTTGCTGCAGTGAGCTCACGCGTTGCTGCAGTGAGCTCACGCGTTGCTGCAGTGAGCTCACGCGTTGCTGCAGTGAGCTCACGCCTTGCTGCAGTGAGCTCACGCATTGCTGCAGTGAGCTCACGCCTTGCTGCAGTGAGCTCACGCCTTGCTGCAGTGAGCTCACGCGTTGCTGCAGTGAGCTCACGCGTTGCTGCAGTGAGCTCACGCCTTGCTGCAGTGAGCTCACGCCTTGCTGCAGTGAGCTCACGCATTGCTGCAGTGAGCTCACGCCTTGCTGCAGTGAGCTCACGCGTTGCTGCAGTGAGCTCACGCCTTGCTGCAGTGAGCTCACGCCTTGCTGCAGTGAGCTCACGCCTTGCTGCAGTGAGCTCACGCGTTGCTGCAGTGAGCTCACGCGTTGCTGCAGTGAGCTCACGCATTGCTGCAGTGAGCTCACGCGTTGCTGCAGTGAGCTCACGCCTTGCTGCAGTGAGCTCACGCCTTGCTGCAGTGAGCTCACGCGTTGCTGCAGTGAGCTCACGCCTTGCTGCAGTGAGCTCACGCCTTGCTGCAGTGAGCTCACGCCTTGCTGCAGTGAGCTCACGCCTTGCTGCAGTGAGCTCACGCGTTGCTGCAGTGAGCTCACGCCTTGCTGCAGTGAGCTCACGCGTTGCTGCAGTGAGCTCACGCCTTGCTGCAGTGAGCTCACGCATTGCTGCAGTGAGCTCACGCCTTGCTGCAGTGAGCTCACGCGTTGCTGCAGTGAGCTCACGCCTTGCTGCAGTGAGCTCACACCTTGCTGCAGTGAGCTCACGCGTTGCTGCAGTGAGCTCACGCGTTGCTGCAGTGAGCTCACGCCTTGCTGCAGTGAGCTCACGCCTTGCTGCAGTGAGCTCACGCCTTGCTGCAGTGAGCTCACGCGTTGCTGCAGTGAGCTCACGCCTTGCTGCAGTGAGCTCACGCGTTGCTGCAGTGAGCTCACGCCTTGCTGCAGTGAGCTCACGCCTTGCTGCAGTGAGCTCACGCCTTGCTGCAGTGAGCTCACGCCTTGCTGCAGTGAGCTCACGCGTTGCTGCAGTGAGCTCACGCCTTGCTGCAGTGAGCTCACGCGTTGCTGCAGTGAGCTCACGCCTTGCTGCAGTGAGCTCACGCCTTGCTGCAGTGAGCTCACGCGTTGCTGCAGTGAGCTCACGCCTTGCTGCAGTGAGCTCACGCCTTGCTGCAGTGAGCTCACGCCTTGCTGCAGTGAGCTCACGCCTTGCTGCAGTGAGCTCACGCGTTGCTGCAGTGAGCTCACGCCTTGCTGCAGTGAGCTCACGCGTTGCTGCAGTGAGCTCACGCCTTGCTGCAGTGAGCTCACGCATTGCTGCAGTGAGCTCACGCGTTGCTGCAGTGAGCTCACGCGTTGCTGCAGTGAGCTCACGCCTTGCTGCAGTGAGCTCACGCGTTGCTGCAGTGAGCTCACTGCAGTGAGCTCACGCGTTGCTGCAGTGAGCTCACGCGTTGCTGCAGTGAGCTCACGCCTTGCTGCAGTGAGCTCACGCGTTGCTGCAGTGAGCTCACGCCTTGCTGCAGTGAGCTCACGCGTTGCTGCAGTGAGCTCACGCATTGCTGCAGTGAGCTCACGCGTTGCTGCAGTGAGCTCACGCCTTGCTGCAGTGAGCTCACGCCTTGCTGCAGTGAGCTCACGCATTGCTGCAGTGAGCTCACGCCTTGCTGCAGTGAGCTCACGCGTTGCTGCAGTGAGCTCACGCATTGCTGCAGTGAGCTCACGCGTTGCTGCAGTGAGCTCACGCCTTGCTGCAGTGAGCTCACGCGTTGCTGCAGTGAGCTCACGCGTTGCTGCAGTGAGCTCACGCGTTGCTGCAGTGAGCTCACGCCTTGCTGCAGTGAGCTCACGCCTTGCTGCAGTGAGCTCACGCGTTGCTGCAGTGAGCTCACGCCTTGCTGCAGTGAGCTCACGCATTGCTGCAGTGAGCTCACGCCTTGCTGCAGTGAGCTCACGCCTTGCTGCAGTGAGCTCACGCGTTGCTGCAGTGAGCTCACGCTTGCTTGCAGTGAGCTCACGCCTTGCTGCAGTGAGCTCACGCCTTGCTGCAGTGAGCTCACGCGTTGCTGCAGTGAGCTCACGCCTTGCTGCAGTGAGCTCACGCGTTGCTGCAGTGAGCTCACGCCTTGCTGCAGTGAGCTCACGCCTTGCTGCAGTGAGCTCACGCGTTGCTGCAGTGAGCTCACGCGTTGCTGCAGTGAGCTCACGCCTTGCTGCAGTGAGCTCACGCCTTGCTGCAGTGAGCTCACGCCTTGCTGCAGTGAGCTCACGCCTTGCTGCAGTGAGCTCACGCGTTGCTGCAGTGAGCTCACGCCTTGCTGCAGTGAGCTCACGTTGCTTGCTGCAGTGAGCTCACGCCTTGCTGCAGTGAGCTCACGCGTTGCTGCAGTGAGCTCACGCCTTGCTGCAGTGAGCTCACGCCTTGCTGCAGTGAGCTCACGCCTTGCTGCAGTGAGCTCACGCCTTGCTGCAGTGAGCTCACGCGTTGCTGCAGTGAGCTCACGCGTTGCTGCAGTGAGCTCACGCCTTGCTGCAGTGAGCTCACGCATTGCTGCAGTGAGCTCACGCCTTGCTGCAGTGAGCTCACGCCTTGCTGCAGTGAGCTCACGCGTTGCTGCAGTGAGCTCACGCCTTGCTGCAGTGAGCTCACGCGTTGCTGCAGTGAGCTCACGCGTTGCTGCAGTGAGCTCACGCCTTGCTGCAGTGAGCTCACGCCTTGCTGCAGTGAGCTCACGCGTTGCTGCAGTGAGCTCACGCCTTGCTGCAGTGAGCTCACGCATTGCTGCAGTGAGCTCACGCATTGCTGCAGTGAGCTCACGCGTTGCTGCAGTGAGCTCACGCCTTGCTGCAGTGAGCTCACGCGTTGCTGCAGTGAGCTCACGCCTTGCTGCAGTGAGCTCACGCCTTGCTGCAGTGAGCTCACGCCTTGCTGCAGTGAGCTCACGCGTTGCTGCAGTGAGCTCACGCCTTGCTGCAGTGAGCTCACGCGTTGCTGCAGTGAGCTCACGCGTTGCTGCAGTGAGCTCACGCGTTGCTGCAGTGAGCTCACGCCTTGCTGCAGTGAGCTCACGCCTTGCTGCAGTGAGCTCACGCATTGCTGCAGTGAGCTCACGCGTTGCTGCAGTGAGCTCACGCCTTGCTGCAGTGAGCTCACGCCTTGCTGCAGTGAGCTCACGCCTTGCTGCAGTGAGCTCACGCGTTGCTGCAGTGAGCTCACGCATTGCTGCAGTGAGCTCACGCGTTGCTGCAGTGAGCTCACGCCTTGCTGCAGTGAGCTCACGCCTTGCTGCAGTGAGCTCACGCCTTGCTGCAGTGAGCTCACGCGTTGCTGCAGTGAGCTCACGCCTTGCTGCAGTGAGCTCACGCGTTGCTGCAGTGAGCTCACGCCTTGCTGCAGTGAGCTCACGCCTTGCTGCAGTGAGCTCACGCATTGCTGCAGTGAGCTCACGCCTTGCTGCAGTGAGCTCACGCCTTGCTGCAGTGAGCTCACGCGTTGCTGCAGTGAGCTCACGCCTTGCTGCAGTGAGCTCACGCCTTGCTGCAGTGAGCTCACGCGTTGCTGCAGTGAGCTCACGCGTTGCTGCAGTGAGCTCACGCCTTGCTGCAGTGAGCTCACGCCTTGCTGCAGTGAGCTCACGCGTTGCTGCAGTGAGCTCACGCATTGCTGCAGTGAGCTCACGCGTTGCTGCAGTGAGCTCACGCCTTGCTGCAGTGAGCTCACGCGTTGCTGCAGTGAGCTCACGCCTTGCTGCAGTGAGCTCACGCGTTGCTGCAGTGCTGCAGTGAGCTCACGCCTTGCTGCAGTGAGCTCACGCCTTGCTGCAGTGAGCTCACGCGTTGCTGCAGTGAGCTCACGCCTTGCTGCAGTGAGCTCACGCGTTGCTGCAGTGAGCTCACGCATTGCTGCAGTGAGCTCACGCCTTGCTGCAGTGAGCTCACGCGTTGCTGCAGTGAGCTCACGCCTTGCTGCAGTGAGCTCACGCGTTGCTGCAGTGAGCTCACGCCTTGCTGCAGTGAGCTCACGCGTTGCTGCAGTGAGCTCACGCGTTGCTGCAGTGAGCTCACGCGTTGCTGCAGTGAGCTCACGCCTTGCTGCAGTGAGCTCACGCGTTGCTGCAGTGAGCTCACGCCTTGCTGCAGTGAGCTCACGCGTTGCTGCAGTGAGCTCACTGCAGTGAGCTCACGCCTTGCTGCAGTGAGCTCACGCCTTGCTGCAGTGAGCTCACGCCTTGCTGCAGTGAGCTCACGCGTTGCTGCAGTGAGCTCACGCGTTGCTGCAGTGAGCTCACGCGTTGCTGCAGTGAGCTCACGCCTTGCTGCAGTGAGCTCACGCGTTGCTGCAGTGAGCTCACGCGTTGCTGCAGTGAGCTCACGCGTTGCTGCAGTGAGCTCACGCATTGCTGCAGTGAGCTCACGCCTTGCTGCAGTGAGCTCACGCGTTGCTGCAGTGAGCTCACGCCTTGCTGCAGTGAGCTCACGCGTTGCTGCAGTGAGCTCACGCCTTGCTGCAGTGAGCTCACGCCTTGCTGCAGTGAGCTCACGCGTTGCTGCAGTGAGCTCACGCGTTGCTGCAGTGAGCTCACGCATTGCTGCAGTGAGCTCACGCGTTGCTGCAGTGAGCTCACGCGTTGCTGCAGTGAGCTCACGCCTTGCTGCAGTGAGCTCACGCGTTGCTGCAGTGAGCTCACGCCTTGCTGCAGTGAGCTCACGCGTTGCTGCAGTGAGCTCACGCGTTGCTGCAGTGAGCTCACGCGTTGCTGCAGTGAGCTCACGCGTTGCTGCAGTGAGCTCACGCGTTGCTGCAGTGAGCTCACGCCTTGCTGCAGTGAGCTCACGCCTTGCTGCAGTGAGCTCACGCCTTGCTGCAGTGAGCTCACGCCTTGCTGCAGTGAGCTCACGCCTTGCTGCAGTGAGCTCACGCGTTGCTGCAGTGAGCTCACGCCTTGCTGCAGTGAGCTCACGCATTGCTGCAGTGAGCTCACGCCTTGCTGCAGTGAGCTCACGCCTTGCTGCAGTGAGCTCACGCCTTGCTGCAGTGAGCTCACGCCTTGCTGCAGTGAGCTCACGCCTTGCTGCAGTGAGCTCACGCGTTGCTGCAGTGAGCTCACGCATTGCTGCAGTGAGCTCACGCCTTGCTGCAGTGAGCTCACGCCTTGCTGCAGTGAGCTCACGCGTTGCTGCAGTGAGCTCACGCGTTGCTGCAGTGAGCTCACGCGTTGCTGCAGTGAGCTCACGCGTTGCTGCAGTGAGCTCACGCCTTGCTGCAGTGAGCTCACGCGTTGCTGCAGTGAGCTCACGCGTTGCTGCAGTGAGCTCACGCATTGCTGCAGTGAGCTCACGCCTTGCTGCAGTGAGCTCACGCGTTGCTGCAGTGAGCTCACGCCTTGCTGCAGTGAGCTCACGCGTTGCTGCAGTGAGCTCACGCGTTGCTGCAGTGAGCTCACGCATTGCTGCAGTGAGCTCACGCCTTGCTGCAGTGAGCTCACGCATTGCTGCAGTGAGCTCACGCCTTGCTGCAGTGAGCTCACGCGTTGCTGCAGTGAGCTCACGCCTTGCTGCAGTGAGCTCACGCCTTGCTGCAGTGAGCTCACGCATTGCTGCAGTGAGCTCACGCGTTGCTGCAGTGAGCTCACGCCTTGCTGCAGTGAGCTCACGCGTTGCTGCAGTGAGCTCACGCCTTGCTGCAGTGAGCTCACGCATTGCTGCAGTGAGCTCACGCCTTGCTGCAGTGAGCTCACGCGTTGCTGCAGTGAGCTCACGCCTTGCTGCAGTGAGCTCACGCCTTGCTGCAGTGAGCTCACGCCTTGCTGCAGTGAGCTCACGCCTTGCTGCAGTGAGCTCACGCGTTGCTGCAGTGAGCTCACGCGTTGCTGCAGTGAGCTCACGCCTTGCTGCAGTGAGCTCACGCCTTGCTGCAGTGAGCTCACGCGTTGCTGCAGTGAGCTCACGCCTTGCTGCAGTGAGCTCACGCGTTGCTGCAGTGAGCTCACGCCTTGCTGCAGTGAGCTCACGCCTTGCTGCAGTGAGCTCACGCCTTGCTGCAGTGAGCTCACGCCTTGCTGCAGTGAGCTCACGCCTTGCTGCAGTGAGCTCACGCGTTGCTGCAGTGAGCTCACGCCTTGCTGCAGTGAGCTCACGCCTTGCTGCAGTGAGCTCACGCGTTGCTGCAGTGAGCTCACGCATTGCTGCAGTGAGCTCACGCCTTGCTGCAGTGAGCTCACGCCTTGCTGCAGTGAGCTCACGCGTTGCTGCAGTGAGCTCACGCCTTGCTGCAGTGAGCTCACGCGTTGCTGCAGTGAGCTCACGCCTTGCTGCAGTGAGCTCACGCGTTGCTGCAGTGAGCTCACGCCTTGCTGCAGTGAGCTCACGCCTTGCTGCAGTGAGCTCACGCCTTGCTGCAGTGAGCTCACGCCTTGCTGCAGTGAGCTCACGCGTTGCTGCAGTGAGCTCACGCGTTGCTGCAGTGAGCTCACGCCTTGCTGCAGTGAGCTCACGCGTTGCTGCAGTGAGCTCACGCGTTGCTGCAGTGAGCTCACGCCTTGCTGCAGTGAGCTCACGCGTTGCTGCAGTGAGCTCACGCGTTGCTGCAGTGAGCTCACGCCTTGCTGCAGTGAGCTCACGCGTTGCTGCAGTGAGCTCACGCCTTGCTGCAGTGAGCTCACGCGTTGCCTGAGCTTCCTTGCTGCAGTGAGCTCACGCTTGCTGCAGTGAGCTCACGCGTTGCTGCAGTGAGCTCACGCGTTGCTGCAGTGAGCTCACGCGTTGCTGCAGTGAGCTCACGCCTTGCTGCAGTGAGCTCACGCCTTGCTGCAGTGAGCTCACGCCTTGCTGCAGTGAGCTCACGCCTTGCTGCAGTGAGCTCACGCGTTGCTGCAGTGAGCTCACGCGTTGCTGCAGTGAGCTCACGCCTTGCTGCAGTGAGCTCACGCATTGCTGCAGTGAGCTCACGCCTTGCTGCAGTGAGCTCACGCATTGCTGCAGTGAGCTCACGCCTTGCTGCAGTGAGCTCACGCCTTGCTGCAGTGAGCTCACGCGTTGCTGCAGTGAGCTCACGCGTTGCTGCAGTGAGCTCACGCCTTGCTGCAGTGAGCTCACGCCTTGCTGCAGTGAGCTCACGCGTTGCTGCAGTGAGCTCACGCATTGCTGCAGTGAGCTCACGCGTTGCTGCAGTGAGCTCACGCGTTGCTGCAGTGAGCTCACGCGTTGCTGCAGTGAGCTCACGCCTTGCTGCAGTGAGCTCACGCCTTGCTGCAGTGAGCTCACGCGTTGCTGCAGTGAGCTCACGCCTTGCTGCAGTGAGCTCACGCCTTGCTGCAGTGAGCTCACGCGTTGCTGCAGTGAGCTCACGCCTTGCTGCAGTGAGCTCACGCGTTGCTGCAGTGAGCTCACGCGTTGCTGCAGTGAGCTCACGCGTTGCTGCAGTGAGCTCACGCCTTGCTGCAGTGAGCTCACGCGTTGCTGCAGTGAGCTCACGCGTTGCTGCAGTGAGCTCACGCGTTGCTGCAGTGAGCTCACGCCTTGCTGCAGTGAGCTCACGCCTTGCTGCAGTGAGCTCACGCCTTGCTGCAGTGAGCTCACGCGTTGCTGCAGTGAGCTCACGCCTTGCTGCAGTGAGCTCACGCCTTGCTGCAGTGAGCTCACGCCTTGCTGCAGTGAGCTCACGCCTTGCTGCAGTGAGCTCACGCCTTGCTGCAGTGAGCTCACGCGTTGCTGCAGTGAGCTCACGCCTTGCTGCAGTGAGCTCACGCCTTGCTGCAGTGAGCTCACGCCTTGCTGCAGTGAGCTCACGCCTTGCTGCAGTGAGCTCACGCGTTGCTGCAGTGAGCTCACGCGTTGCTGCAGTGAGCTCACGCCTTGCTGCAGTGAGCTCACGCCTTGCTGCAGTGAGCTCACGCGTTGCTGCAGTGAGCTCACGCCTTGCTGCAGTGAGCTCACGCGTTGCTGCAGTGAGCTCACGCCTTGCTGCAGTGAGCTCACGCCTTGCTGCAGTGAGCTCACGCATTGCTGCAGTGAGCTCACGCCTTGCTGCAGTGAGCTCACGCCTTGCTGCAGTGAGCTCACGCCTTGCTGCAGTGAGCTCACGCGTTGCTGCAGTGAGCTCACGCCTTGCTGCAGTGAGCTCACGCGTTGCTGCAGTGAGCTCACGCGTTGCTGCAGTGAGCTCACGCCTTGCTGCAGTGAGCTCACGCCTTGCTGCAGTGAGCTCACGCGTTGCTGCAGTGAGCTCACGCCTTGCTGCAGTGAGCTCACGCGTTGCTGCAGTGAGCTCACGCCTTGCTGCAGTGAGCTCACGCGTTCCTGCAGTGAGCTCACGCCTTGCTGCAGTGAGCTCACGCGTTGCTGCAGTGAGCTCACGCGTTGCTGCAGTGAGCTCACGCGTTGCTGCAGTGAGCTCACGCCTTGCTGCAGTGAGCTCACGCGTTGCTGCAGTGAGCTCACGCCTTGCTGCAGTGAGCTCACGCGTTGCTGCAGTGAGCTCACGCGTTGCTGCAGTGAGCTCACGCATTGCTGCAGTGAGCTCACGCGTTGCTGCAGTGAGCTCACGCCTTGCTGCAGTGAGCTCACGCCTTGCTGCAGTGAGCTCACGCGTTGCTGCAGTGAGCTCACGCCTTGCTGCAGTGAGCTCACGCCTTGCTGCAGTGAGCTCACGCCTTGCTGCAGTGAGCTCACGCATTGCTGCAGTGAGCTCACGCGTTGCTGCAGTGAGCTCACGCGTTGCTGCAGTGAGCTCACGCCTTGCTGCAGTGAGCTCACGCCTTGCTGCAGTGAGCTCACGCGTTGCTGCAGTGAGCTCACGCCTTGCTGCAGTGAGCTCACGCGTTGCTGCAGTGAGCTCACGCGTTGCTGCAGTGAGCTCACGCCTTGCTGCAGTGAGCTCACGCGTTGCTGCAGTGAGCTCACGCCTTGCTGCAGTGAGCTCACGCCTTGCTGCAGTGAGCTCACGCCTTGCTGCAGTGAGCTCACGCCTTGCTGCAGTGAGCTCACGCGTTGCTGCAGTGAGCTCACGCCTTGCTGCAGTGAGCTCACGCCTTGCTGCAGTGAGCTCACGCGTTGCTGCAGTGAGCTCACGCCTTGCTGCAGTGAGCTCACGCGTTGCTGCAGTGAGCTCACGCCTTGCTGCAGTGAGCTCACGCCTTGCTGCAGTGAGCTCACGCCTTGCTGCAGTGAGCTCACGCGTTGCTGCAGTGAGCTCACGCCTTGCTGCAGTGAGCTCACGCGTTGCTGCAGTGAGCTCACGCCTTGCTGCAGTGAGCTCACGCCTTGCTGCAGTGAGCTCACGCCTTGCTGCAGTGAGCTCACGCGTTGCTGCAGTGAGCTCACGCCTTGCTGCAGTGAGCTCACGCGTTGCTGCAGTGAGCTCACGCCTTGCTGCAGTGAGCTCACGCCTTGCTGCAGTGAGCTCACGCGTTGCTGCAGTGAGCTCACGCCTTGCTGCAGTGAGCTCACGCCTTGCTGCAGTGAGCTCACGCGTTGCTGCAGTGAGCTCACGCCTTGCTGCAGTGAGCTCACGCCTTGCTGCAGTGAGCTCACGCGTTGCTGCAGTGAGCTCACGCGTTGCTGCAGTGAGCTCACTCATTGTGCAGTGTGCAGTGGCTTTTGCTGGTGTCTTGTTGTTGCTTGAGCAGCTCACGCCTTGAGTGCTCACGCTTGCTGCAGTGTGTTGCTCTTGTTGCCAGTGAGCTCACGGTTTGCTGCAGCTGCTTGCGCGTGCAGTTGAGCGTTTGCTTGCTGCAGTGAGCTCACGCGTTGCTGCAGTGAGCTCACCGTTTGCTGCAGTGAGCTCTCGCTTTTTTTTGCAGTGAGCTCACGCGTTGCTGCAGTGAGCTCATGCTTGCGCTTTTGCTGTTGCTGCACTCATTGCTGCGTTGCTGCACGCCTTTCTGCTGTTGCTGTTTGCTCTTTGCTTGCTTGATTGCAGCCAGCTGCTTGCTGCTTGCTGCCAGCAGCGCGCTGCAGTGTGCTGCAGCTCTTGCTTGCAGTGAGCTCCGCGTTGCTGCGTGCAGCTCACGCCTTGCTGCAGTGAGCTCACGCCTTGCTGCAGTGAGCTCACGCCTTGCTGCAGTGAGCTCACGCGTTGCTGCAGTGAGCTCACGCCTTGCTGCAGTGAGCTCACGCGTTGCTGCAGTGAGCTCACGCCTTGCTGCAGTGAGCTCACGCGTTGCTGCAGTGAGCTCACGCGTTGCTGCAGTGAGCTCACGCGTTGCTGCAGTGAGCTCACGCCTTGCTGCAGTGAGCTCACGCCTTGCTGCAGTGAGCTCACGCGTTGCTGCAGTGAGCTCACGCCTTGCTGCAGTGAGCTCACGCCTTGCTGCAGTGAGCTCACGCGTTGCTGCAGTGAGCTCACGCCTTGCTGCAGTGAGCTCACGCGTTGCTGCAGTGAGCTCACGCCTTGCTGCAGTGAGCTCACGCGTTGCTGCAGTGAGCTCACGCCTTGCTGCAGTGAGCTCACGCGTTGCTGCAGTGAGCTCACGCGTTGCTGCAGTGAGCTCACGCGTTGCTGCAGTGAGCTCACGCCTTGCTGCAGTGAGCTCACGCGTTGCTGCAGTGAGCTCACGCCTTGCTGCAGTGAGCTCACGCGTTGCTGCAGTGAGCCTTGCTGCAGTGAGCTCACGCCTTGCTGCAGTGAGCTCACGCCTTGCTGCAGTGAGCTCACGCGTTGCTGCAGTGAGCTCACGCGTTGCTGCAGTGAGCTCACGCGTTGCTGCAGTGAGCTCACGCATTGCTGCAGTGAGCTCACGCCTTGCTGCAGTGAGCTCACGCGTTGCTGCAGTGAGCTCACGCGTTGCTGCAGTGAGCTCACGCGTTGCTGCAGTGAGCTCACGCATTGCTGCAGTGAGCTCACGCATTGCTGCAGTGAGCTCACGCGTTGCTGCAGTGAGCTCACGCCTTGCTGCAGTGAGCTCACGCATTGCTGCAGTGAGCTCACGCGTTGCTGCAGTGAGCTCACGCATTGCTGCAGTGAGCTCACGCCTTGCTGCAGTGAGCTCACGCCTTGCTGCAGTGAGCTCACGCGTTGCTGCAGTGAGCTCACGCCTTGCTGCAGTGAGCTCACGCGTTGCTGCAGTGAGCTCACGCCTTGCTGCAGTGAGCTCACGCGTTGCTGCAGTGAGCTCACGCCTTGCTGCAGTGAGCTCACGCGTTGCTGCAGTGAGCTCACGCCTTGCTGCAGTGAGCTCACGCGTTGCTGCAGTGAGCTCACGCCTTGCTGCAGTGAGCTCACGCCTTGCTGCAGTGAGCTCACGCGTTGCTGCAGTGAGCTCACGCATTGCTGCAGTGAGCTCACGCGTTGCTGCAGTGAGCTCACGCCTTGCTGCAGTGAGCTCACGCCTTGCTGCAGTGAGCTCACGCCTTGCTGCAGTGAGCTCACGCCTTGCTGCAGTGAGCTCACGCCTTGCTGCAGTGAGCTCACGCCTTGCTGCAGTGAGCTCACGCATTGCTGCAGTGAGCTCACGCGTTGCTGCAGTGAGCTCACGCGTTGCTGCAGTGAGCTCACGCCTTGCTGCAGTGAGCTCACGCGTTGCTGCAGTGAGCTCACGCGTTGCTGCAGTGAGCTCACGCCTTGCTGCAGTGAGCTCACGCCTTGCTGCAGTGAGCTCACGCCTTGCTGCAGTGAGCTCACGCCTTGCTGCAGTGAGCTCACGCGTTGCTGCAGTGAGCTCACGCCTTGCTGCAGTGAGCTCACGCATTGCTGCAGTGAGCTCACGCCTTGCTGCAGTGAGCTCACGCGTTGCTGCAGTGAGCTCACGCCTTGCTGCAGTGAGCTCACGCCTTGCTGCAGTGAGCTCACGCGTTGCTGCAGTGAGCTCACGCGTTGCTGCAGTGAGCTCACGCCTTGCTGCAGTGAGCTCACGCCTTGCTGCAGTGAGCTCACGCCTTGCTGCAGTGAGCTCACGCCTTGCTGCAGTGAGCTCACGCGTTGCTGCAGTGAGCTCACGCCTTGCTGCAGTGAGCTCACGCGTTGCTGCAGTGAGCTCACGCCTTGCTGCAGTGAGCTCACGCCTTGCTGCAGTGAGCTCACGCGTTGCTGCAGTGAGCTCACGCGTTGCTGCAGTGAGCTCACGCCTTGCTGCAGTGAGCAGTGAGCTCACGCTTGCTGCAGTGAGCTCACGCCTTGCTGCAGTGAGCTCACGCGTTGCTGCAGTGAGCTCACGCCTTGCTGCAGTGAGCTCACGCCTTGCTGCAGTGAGCTCACGCCTTGCTGCAGTGAGCTCACGCCTTGCTGCAGTGAGCTCACGCCTTGCTGCAGTGAGCTCACGCCTTGCTGCAGTGAGCTCACGCGTTGCTGCAGTGAGCTCACGCCTTGCTGCAGTGAGCTCACGCGTTGCTGCAGTGAGCTCACGCCTTGCTGCAGTGAGCTCACGCGTTGCTGCAGTGAGCTCACGCCTTGCTGCAGTGAGCTCACGCCTTGCTGCAGTGAGCTCACGCCTTGCTGCAGTGAGCTCACGCCTTGCTGCAGTGAGCTCACGCCTTGCTGCAGTGAGCTCACGCATTGCTGCAGTGAGCTCACGCGTTGCTGCAGTGAGCTCACGCCTTGCTGCAGTGAGCTCACGCGTTGCTGCAGTGAGCTCACGCCTTGCTGCAGTGAGCTCACGCCTTGCTGCAGTGAGCTCACGCCTTGCTGCAGTGAGCTCACGCGTTGCTGCAGTGAGCTCACGCCTTGCTGCAGTGAGCTCACGCCTTGCTGCAGTGAGCTCACGCCTTGCTGCAGTGAGCTCACGCGTTGCTGCAGTGAGCTCACGCCTTGCTGCAGTGAGCTCACGCGTTGCTGCAGTGAGCTCACGCCTTGCTGCAGTGAGCTCACGCGTTGCTGCAGTGAGCTCACGCGTTGCTGCAGTGAGCTCACGCGTTGCTGCAGTGAGCTCACGCGTTGCTGCAGTGAGCTCACGCCTTGCTGCAGTGAGCTCACGCCTTGCTGCAGTGAGCTCACGCGTTGCTGCAGTGAGCTCACGCCTTGCTGCAGTGAGCTCACGCGTTGCTGCAGTGAGCTCACGCATTGCTGCAGTGAGCTCACGCCTTGCTGCAGTGAGCTCACGCCTTGCTGCAGTGAGCTCACGCCTTGCTGCAGTGAGCTCACGCGTTGCTGCAGTGAGCTCACGCGTTGCTGCAGTGAGCTCACGCCTTGCTGCAGTGAGCTCACGCCTTGCTGCAGTGAGCTCACGCCTTGCTGCAGTGAGCTCACGCCTTGCTGCAGTGAGCTCACGCGTTGCTGCAGTGAGCTCACGCCTTGCTGCAGTGAGCTCACGCCTTGCTGCAGTGAGCTCACGCCTTGCTGCAGTGAGCTCACGCCTTGCTGCAGTGAGCTCACGCGTTGCTGCAGTGAGCTCACGCATTGCTGCAGTGAGCTCACGCCTTGCTGCAGTGAGCTCACGCCTTGCTGCAGTGAGCTCACGCCTTGCTGCAGTGAGCTCACGCCTTGCTGCAGTGAGCTCACGCCTTGCTGCAGTGAGCTCACGCGTTGCTGCAGTGAGCTCACGCCTTGCTGCAGTGAGCTCACGCGTTGCTGCAGTGAGCTCACGCCTTGCTGCAGTGAGCTCACGCCTTGCTGCAGTGAGCTCACGCGTTGCTGCAGTGAGCTCACGCCTTGCTGCAGTGAGCTCACGCGTTGCTGCAGTGAGCTCACGCCTTGCTGCAGTGAGCTCACGCATTGCTGCAGTGAGCTCACGCGTTGCTGCAGTGAGCTCACGCCTTGCTGCAGTGAGCTCACGCGTTGCTGCAGTGAGCTCACGCCTTGCTGCAGTGAGCTCACGCGTTGCTGCAGTGAGCTCACGCCTTGCTGCAGTGAGCTCACGCGTTGCTGCAGTGAGCTCACGCCTTGCTGCAGTGAGCTCACGCCTTGCTGCAGTGAGCTCACGCCTTGCTGCAGTGAGCTCACGCGTTGCTGCAGTGAGCTCACGCGTTGCTGCAGTGAGCTCACGCCTTGCTGCAGTGAGCTCACGCGTTGCTGCAGTGAGCTCACTTCACAGTGCTGAGCTCACGCCTTGCTGCAGTGAGCTCACGCGTTGCTGCAGTGAGCTCACGCGTTGCTGCAGTGAGCTCACGCCTTGCTGCAGTGAGCTCACGCGTTGCTGCAGTGAGCTCACGCCTTGCTGCAGTGAGCTCACGCGTTGCTGCAGTGAGCTCACGCCTTGCTGCAGTGAGCTCACGCGTTGCTGCAGTGAGCTCACGCGTTGCTGCAGTGAGCTCACGCGTTGCTGCAGTGAGCTCACGCCTTGCTGCAGTGAGCTCACGCCTTGCTGCAGTGAGCTCACGCGTTGCTGCAGTGAGCTCACGCCTTGCTGCAGTGAGCTCACGTGTTGCTGCAGTGAGCTCACGCCTTGCTGCAGTGAGCTCACGCGTTGTTGTGCAGTGAGCTCACGCCTTGCTGCAGTGAGCTCACGCCTTGCTGCAGTGAGCTCACGCGTTGCTGCAGTGAGCTCACGCCTTGCTGCAGTGAGCTCACGCGTTGCTGCAGTGAGCTCACGCGTTGCTGCAGTGAGCTCACGCCTTGCTGCAGTGAGCTCACGCGTTGCTGCAGTGAGCTCACGCGTTGCTGCAGTGAGCTCACGCGTTGCTGCAGTGAGCTCACGCCTTGCTGCAGTGAGCTCACGCATTGCTGCAGTGAGCTCACGCCTTGCTGCAGTGAGCTCACGCGTTGCTGCAGTGAGCTCACGCCTTGCTGCAGTGAGCTCACGCGTTGCTGCAGTGAGCTCACGCGTTGCTGCAGTGAGCTCACGCCTTGCTGCAGTGAGCTCACGCCTTGCTGCAGTGAGCTCACGCGTTGCTGCAGTGAGCTCACGCCTTGCTGCAGTGAGCTCACGCGTTGCTGCAGTGAGCTCACGCGTTGCTGCAGTGAGCTCACGCATTGCTGCAGTGAGCTCACGCCTTGCTGCAGTGAGCTCACGCCTTGCTGCAGTGAGCTCACGCATTGCTGCAGTGAGCTCACGCGTTGCTGCAGTGAGCTCACGCCTTGCTGCAGTGAGCTCACGCGTTGCTGCAGTGAGCTCACGCCTTGCTGCAGTGAGCTCACGCCTTGCTGCAGTGAGCTCACGCCTTGCTGCAGTGAGCTCACGCCTTGCTGCAGTGAGCTCACGCCTTGCTGCAGTGAGCTCACGCCTTGCTGCAGTGAGCTCACGCCTTGCTGCAGTGAGCTCACGCCTTGCTGCAGTGAGCTCACGCGTTGCTGCAGTGAGCTCACGCCTTGCTGCAGTGAGCTCACGCGTTGCTGCAGTGAGCTCACGCGTTGCTGCAGTGAGCTCACGCCTTGCTGCAGTGAGCTCACGCCTTGCTGCAGTGAGCTCACGCGTTGCTGCAGTGAGCTCACGCCTTGCTGCAGTGAGCTCACGCCTTGCTGCAGTGAGCTCACGCCTTGCTGCAGTGAGCTCACGCCTTGCTGCAGTGAGCTCACGCCTTGCTGCAGTGAGCTCACGCGTTGCTGCAGTGAGCTCACGCCTTGCTGCAGTGAGCTCACGCCTTGCTGCAGTGAGCTCACGCCTTGCTGCAGTGAGCTCACGCCTTGCTGCAGTGAGCTCACGCGTTGCTGCAGTGAGCTCACGCGTTGCTGCAGTGAGCTCACGCATTGCTGCAGTGAGCTCACGCATTGCTGCAGTGAGCTCACGCATTGCTGCAGTGAGCTCACGCCTTGCTGCAGTGAGCTCACGCGTTGCTGCAGTGAGCTCACGCCTTGCTGCAGTGAGCTCACGCGTTGCTGCAGTGAGCTCACGCCTTGCTGCAGTGAGCTCACGCGTTGCTGCAGTGAGCTCACGCCTTGCTGCAGTGAGCTCACGCGTTGCTGCAGTGAGCTCACGCGTTGCTGCAGTGAGCTCACGCCTTGCTGCAGTGAGCTCACGCCTTGCTGCAGTGAGCTCACGCGTTGCTGCAGTGAGCTCACGCATTGCTGCAGTGAGCTCACGCGTTGCTGCAGTGAGCTCACGCCTTGCTGCAGTGAGCTCACGCCTTGCTGCAGTGAGCTCACGCGTTGCTGCAGTGAGCTCACGCCTTGCTGCAGTGAGCTCACGCGTTGCTGCAGTGAGCTCACGCCTTGCTGCAGTGAGCTCACGCCTTGCTGCAGTGAGCTCACGCCTTGCTGCAGTGAGCTCACGCGTTGCTGCAGTGAGCTCACGCGTTGCTGCAGTGAGCTCACGCGTTGCTGCAGTGAGCTCACGCCTTGCTGCAGTGAGCTCACGCCTTGCTGCAGTGAGCTCACGCCTTGCTGCAGTGAGCTCACGCGTTGCTGCAGTGAGCTCACGCCTTGCTGCAGTGAGCTCACGCCTTGCTGCAGTGAGCTCACGCGTTGCTGCAGTGAGCTCACGCCTTGCTGCAGTGAGCTCACGCGTTGCTGCAGTGAGCTCACACCTTGCTGCAGTGAGCTCACGCGTTGCTGCAGTGAGCTCACGCGTTGCTGCAGTGAGCTCACGCGTTGCTGCAGTGAGCTCACGCCTTGCTGCAGTGAGCTCACGCGTTGCTGCAGTGAGCTCACGCGTTGCTGCAGTGAGCTCACGCCTTGCTGCAGTGAGCTCACGCCTTGCTGCAGTGAGCTCACGCCTTGCTGCAGTGAGCTCACGCCTTGCTGCAGTGAGCTCACGCGTTGCTGCAGTGAGCTCACGCCTTGCTGCAGTGAGCTCACGCCTTGCTGCAGTGAGCTCACGCCTTGCTGCAGTGAGCTCACGCCTTGCTGCAGTGAGCTCACGCGTTGCTGCAGTGAGCTCACGCCTTGCTGCAGTGAGCTCACGCGTTGCTGCAGTGAGCTCACGCCTTGCTGCAGTGAGCTCACGCCTTGCTGCAGTGAGCTCACGCGTTGCTGCAGTGAGCTCACGCCTTGCTGCAGTGAGCTCACGCGTTGCTGCAGTGAGCTCACGCCTTGCTGCAGTGAGCTCACGCATTGCTGCAGTGAGCTCACGCCTTGCTGCAGTGAGCTCACGCCTTGCTGCAGTGAGCTCACACCTTGCTGCAGTGAGCTCACGCCTTGCTGCAGTGAGCTCACGCATTGCTGCAGTGAGCTCACGCGTTGCTGCAGTGAGCTCACGCGTTGCTGCAGTGAGCTCACGCCTTGCTGCAGTGAGCTCACGCCTTGCTGCAGTGAGCTCACGCCTTGCTGCAGTGAGCTCACGCCTTGCTGCAGTGAGCTCACGCGTTGCTGCAGTGAGCTCACGCGTTGCTGCAGTGAGCTCACGCGTTGCTGCAGTGAGCTCACGCCTTGCTGCAGTGAGCTCACGCCTTGCTGCAGTGAGCTCACGCCTTGCTGCAGTGAGCTCACGCGTTGCTGCAGTGAGCTCACGCCTTGCTGCAGTGAGCTCACGCCTTGCTGCAGTGAGCTCACGCGTTGCTGCAGTGAGCTCACGCCTTGCTGCAGTGAGCTCACGCGTTGCTGCAGTGAGCTCACGCGTTGCTGCAGTGAGCTCACGCGTTGCTGCAGTGAGCTCACGCGTTGCTGCAGTGAGCTCACGCGTTGCTGCAGTGAGCTCACGCCTTGCTGCAGTGAGCTCACGCCTTGCTGCAGTGAGCTCACGCGTTGCTGCAGTGAGCTCACGCGTTGCTGCAGTGAGCTCACGCCTTGCTGCAGTGAGCTCACGCTGTTTGCTGAGTGAGTTGCTGCAGTGAGCTCACGCCTTGCTGCAGTGAGCTCACGCGTTGCTGCAGTGAGCTCACGCGTTGCTGCAGTGAGCTCACGCATTGCTGCAGTGAGCTCACGCCTTGCTGCAGTGAGCTCACGCGTTGCTGCAGTGAGCTCACGCCTTGCTGCAGTGAGCTCACGCGTTGCTGCAGTGAGCTCACGCCTTGCTGCAGTGAGCTCACGCCTTGCTGCAGTGAGCTCACGCGTTGCTGCAGTGAGCTCACGCCTTGCTGCAGTGAGCTCACGCCTTGCTGCAGTGAGCTCACGCGTTGCTGCAGTGAGCTCACGCATTGCTGCAGTGAGCTCACGCATTGCTGCAGTGAGCTCACGCGTTGCTGCAGTGAGCTCACGCCTTGCTGCAGTGAGCTCACGCGTTGCTGCAGTGAGCTCACGCGTTGCTGCAGTGAGCTCACGCGTTGCTGCAGTGAGCTCACGCATTGCTGCAGTGAGCTCACGCCTTGCTGCAGTGAGCTCACGCGTTGCTGCAGTGAGCTCACGCGTTGCTGCAGTGAGCTCACGCGTTGCTGCAGTGAGCTCACGCGTTGCTGCAGTGAGCTCACGCCTTGCTGCAGTGAGCTCACGCGTTGCTGCAGTGAGCTCACGCCTTGCTGCAGTGAGCTCACGCCTTGCTGCAGTGAGCTCACGTTGCTTGCTGCAGTGAGCTCACGCCTTGCTGCAGTGAGCTCACGCATTGCTGCAGTGAGCTCACGCGTTGCTGCAGTGAGCTCACGCCTTGCTGCAGTGAGCTCACGCATTGCTGCAGTGAGCTCACGCGTTGCTGCAGTGAGCTCACGCCTTGCTGCAGTGAGCTCACGCCTTGCTGCAGTGAGCTCACGCGTTGCTGCAGTGAGCTCACGCGTTGCTGCAGTGAGCTCACGCGTTGCTGCAGTGAGCTCACGCCTTGCTGCAGTGAGCTCACGCGTTGCTGCAGTGAGCTCACGCGTTGCTGCAGTGAGCTCACGCCTTGCTGCAGTGAGCTCACGCGTTGCTGCAGTGAGCTCACGCCTTGCTGCAGTGAGCTCACGCCTTGCTGCAGTGAGCTCACGCCTTGCTGCAGTGAGCTCACGCGTTGCTGCAGTGAGCTCACGCCTTGCTGCAGTGAGCTCACGCGTTGCTGCAGTGAGCTCACGCCTTGCTGCAGTGAGCTCACGCCTTGCTGCAGTGAGCTCACGCCTTGCTGCAGTGAGCTCACGCGTTGCTGCAGTGAGCTCACGCGTTGCTGCAGTGAGCTCACGCCTTGCTGCAGTGAGCTCACGCGTTGCTGCAGTGAGCTCACGCCTTGCTGCAGTGAGCTCACGCCTTGCTGCAGTGAGCTCACGCGTTGCTGCAGTGAGCTCACGCCTTGCTGCAGTGAGCTCACGCGTTGCTGCAGTGAGCTCACGCCTTGCTGCAGTGAGCTCACGCGTTGCTGCAGTGAGCTCACGCGTTGCTGCAGTGAGCTCACGCCTTGCTGCAGTGAGCTCACGCCTTGCTGCAGTGAGCTCACGCCTTGCTGCAGTGAGCTCACGCCTTGCTGCAGTGAGCTCACGCGTTGCTGCAGTGAGCTCACGCCTTGCTGCAGTGAGCTCACGCCTTGCTGCAGTGAGCTCACGCCTTGCTGCAGTGAGCTCACGCCTTGCTGCAGTGAGCTCACGCGTTGCTGCAGTGAGCTCACGCCTTGCTGCAGTGAGCTCACGCGTTGCTGCAGTGAGCTCACGCCTTGCTGCAGTGAGCTCACGCCTTGCTGCAGTGAGCTCACGCCTTGCTGCAGTGAGCTCACGCCTTGCTGCAGTGAGCTCACGCGTTGCTGCAGTGAGCTCACGCGTTGCTGCAGTGAGCTCACGCCTTGCTGCAGTGAGCTCACGCCTTGCTGCAGTGAGCTCACGCCTTGCTGCAGTGAGCTCACGCCTTGCTGCAGTGAGCTCACGCCTTGCTGCAGTGAGCTCACGCGTTGCTGCAGTGAGCTCACGCCTTGCTGCAGTGAGCTCACGCGTTGCTGCAGTGAGCTCACGCGTTGCTGCAGTGAGCTCACGCCTTGCTGCAGTGAGCTCACGCGTTGCTGCAGTGAGCTCACGCCTTGCTGCAGTGAGCTCACGCGTTGCTGCAGTGAGCTCACGCCTTGCTGCAGTGAGCTCACGCCTTGCTGCAGTGAGCTCACGCATTGCTGCAGTGAGCTCACGCCTTGCTGCAGTGAGCTCACGCGTTGCTGCAGTGAGCTCACGCCTTGCTGCAGTGAGCTCACGCGTTGCTGCAGTGAGCTCACGCGTTGCTGCAGTGAGCTCACGCGTTGCTGCAGTGAGCTCACGCGTTGCTGCAGTGAGCTCACGCGTTGCTGCTAGCACGCAGTGCTGCAGTGAGCTCACGCTTGCTGCAGCAGCTCACGCCTTGCTGCAGTGAGCTCACGCATTGCTGCAGTGAGCTCACGCCTTGCTGCAGTGAGCTCACGCGTTGCTGCAGTGAGCTCACGCGTTGCTGCAGTGAGCTCACGCCTTGCTGCAGTGAGCTCACGCGTTGCTGCAGTGAGCTCACGCCTTGCTGCAGTGAGCTCACGCGTTGCTGCAGTGAGCTCACGCCTTGCTGCAGTGAGCTCACGCGTTGCTGCAGTGAGCTCACGCGTTGCTGCAGTGAGCTCACGCCTTGCTGCAGTGAGCTCACGCCTTGCTGCAGTGAGCTCACGCCTTGCTGCAGTGAGCTCACGCCTTGCTGCAGTGAGCTCACGCGTTGCTGCAGTGAGCTCACGCGTTGCTGCAGTGAGCTCACGCCTTGCTGCAGTGAGCTCACGCGTTGCTGCAGTGAGCTCACGCCTTGCTGCAGTGAGCTCACGCCTTGCTGCAGTGAGCTCACGCCTTGCTGCAGTGAGCTCACGCGTTGCTGCAGTGAGCTCACGCGTTGCTGCAGTGAGCTCACGCGTTGCTGCAGTGAGCTCACGCGTTGCTGCAGTGAGCTCACGCGTTGCTGCAGTGAGCTCACGCCTTGCTGCAGTGAGCTCACGCGTTGCTGCAGTGAGCTCACGCGTTGCTGCAGTGAGCTCACGCGTTGCTGCAGTGAGCTCACGCCTTGCTGCAGTGAGCTCACGCGTTGCTGCAGTGAGCTCACGCCTTGCTGCAGTGAGCTCACGCGTTGCTGCAGTGAGCTCACGCGTTGCTGCAGTGAGCTCACGCCTTGCTGCAGTGAGCTCACGCCTTGCTGCAGTGAGCTCACGCCTTGCTGCAGTGAGCTCACGCGTTGCTGCAGTGAGCTCACGCCTTGCTGCAGTGAGCTCACGCGTTGCTGCAGTGAGCTCACGCGTTGCTGCAGTGAGCTCACGCGTTGCTGCAGTGAGCTCACGCTTGCTGTGCAGTGAGCTCACGCCTTGCTGCAGTGAGCTCACGCGTTGCTGCAGTGAGCTCACGCCTTGCTGCAGTGAGCTCACGCGTTGCTGCAGTGAGCTCACACCTTGCTGCAGTGAGCTCACGCCTTGCTGCAGTGAGCTCACGCCTTGCTGCAGTGAGCTCACGCCTTGCTGCAGTGAGCTCACGCGTTGCTGCAGTGAGCTCACGCCTTGCTGCAGTGAGCTCACGCCTTGCTGCAGTGAGCTCACGCCTTGCTGCAGTGAGCTCACGCCTTGCTGCAGTGAGCTCACGCCTTGCTGCAGTGAGCTCACGCGTTGCTGCAGTGAGCTCACGCATTGCTGCAGTGAGCTCACGCGTTGCTGCAGTGAGCTCACGCGTTGCTGCAGTGAGCTCACGCGTTGCTGCAGTGAGCTCACGCCTTGCTGCAGTGAGCTCACGCGTTGCTGCAGTGAGCTCACGCGTTGCTGCAGTGAGCTCACGCGTTGCTGCAGTGAGCTCACGCGTTGCTGCAGTGAGCTCACGCATTGCTGCAGTGAGCTCACGCGTTGCTGCAGTGAGCTCACGCCTTGCTGCAGTGAGCTCACGCCTTGCTGCAGTGAGCTCACGCATTGCTGCAGTGAGCTCACGCCTTGCTGCAGTGAGCTCACGCGTTGCTGCAGTGAGCTCACGCATTGCTGCAGTGAGCTCACGCGTTGCTGCAGTGAGCTCACGCCTTGCTGCAGTGAGCTCACGCCTTGCTGCAGTGAGCTCACGCCTTGCTGCAGTGAGCTCACGCGTTGCTGCAGTGAGCTCACGCATTGCTGCAGTGAGCTCACGCCTTGCTGCAGTGAGCTCACGCCTTGCTGCAGTGAGCTCACGCGTTGCTGCAGTGAGCTCACGCGTTGCTGCAGTGAGCTCACGCGTTGCTGCAGTGAGCTCACGCGTTGCTGCAGTGAGCTCACGCGTTGCTGCAGTGAGCTCACGCCTTGCTGCAGTGAGCTCACGCCTTGCTGCAGTGAGCTCACGCGTTGCTGCAGTGAGCTCACGCATTGCTGCAGTGAGCTCACGCGTTGCTGCAGTGAGCTCACGCCTTGCTGCAGTGAGCTCACGCCTTGCTGCAGTGAGCTCACGCCTTGCTGCAGTGAGCTCACGCGTTGCTGCAGTGAGCTCACGCCTTGCTGCAGTGAGCTCACGCGTTGCTGCAGTGAGCTCACGCCTTGCTGCAGTGAGCTCACGCGTTGCTGCAGTGAGCTCACGCGTTGCTGCAGTGAGCTCACGCCTTGCTGCAGTGAGCTCACGCGTTGCTGCAGTGAGCTCACGCCTTGCTGCAGTGAGCTCACGCCTTGCTGCAGTGAGCTCACGCGTTGCTGCAGTGAGCTCACGCGTTGCTGCAGTGAGCTCACGCCTTGCTGCAGTGAGCTCACGCGTTGCTGCAGTGAGCTCACGCCTTGCTGCAGTGAGCTCACGCCTTGCTGCAGTGAGCTCACGCCTTGCTGCAGTGAGCTCACGCATTGCTGCAGTGAGCTCACGCCTTGCTGCAGTGAGCTCACGCGTTGCTGCAGTGAGCTCACGCCTTGCTGCAGTGAGCTCACGCGTTGCTGCAGTGAGCTCACGCGTTGCTGCAGTGAGCTCACGCCTTGCTGCAGTGAGCTCACGCGTTGCTGCAGTGAGCTCACGCGTTGCTGCAGTGAGCTCACGCCTTGCTGCAGTGAGCTCACGCCTTGCTGCAGTGAGCTCACGCCTTGCTGCAGTGAGCTCACGCCTTGCTGCAGTGAGCTCACGCCTTGCTGCAGTGAGCTCACGCGTTGCTGCAGTGAGCTCACGCGTTGCTGCAGTGAGCTCACGCGTTGCTGCAGTGAGCTCACGCCTTGCTGCAGTGAGCTCACGCGTTGCTGCAGTGAGCTCACGCGTTGCTGCAGTGAGCTCACGCCTTGCTGCAGTGAGCTCACGCGTTGCTGCAGTGAGCTCACGCCTTGCTGCAGTGAGCTCACGCCTTGCTGCAGTGAGCTCACGCCTTGCTGCAGTGAGCTCACGCGTTGCTGCAGTGAGCTCACGCCTTGCTGCAGTGAGCTCACGCGTTGCTGCAGTGAGCTCACGCCTTGCTGCAGTGAGCTCACGCATTGCTGCAGTGAGCTCACGCCTTGCTGCAGTGAGCTCACGCGTTGCTGCAGTGAGCTCACGCGTTGCTGCAGTGAGCTCACGCCTTGCTGCAGTGAGCTCACGCCTTGCTGCAGTGAGCTCACGCCTTGCTGCAGTGAGCTCACGCCTTGCTGCAGTGAGCTCACGCGTTGCTGCAGTGAGCTCACGCCTTGCTGCAGTGAGCTCACGCGTTGCTGCAGTGAGCTCACGCGTTGCTGCAGTGAGCTCACGCGTTGCTGCAGTGAGCTCACGCGTTGCTGCAGTGAGCTCACGCGTTGCTGCAGTGAGCTCACGCCTTGCTGCAGTGAGCTCACGCGTTGCTGCAGTGAGCTCACGCATTGCTGCAGTGAGCTCACGCCTTGCTGCAGTGAGCTCACGCCTTGCTGCAGTGAGCTCACGCATTGCTGCAGTGAGCTCACGCCTTGCTGCAGTGAGCTCACGCCTTGCTGCAGTGAGCTCACGCCTTGCTGCAGTGAGCTCACGCGTTGCTGCAGTGAGCTCACGCGTTGCTGCAGTGAGCTCACGCGTTGCTGCAGTGAGCTCACGCCTTGCTGCAGTGAGCTCACGCGTTGCTGCAGTGAGCTCACGCCTTGCTGCAGTGAGCTCACGCGTTGCTGCAGTGAGCTCACGCCTTGCTGCAGTGAGCTCACGCGTTGCTGCAGTGAGCTCACGCGTTGCTGCAGTGAGCTCACGCGTTGCTGCAGTGAGCTCACGCGTTGCTGCAGTGAGCTCACGCCTTGCTGCAGTGAGCTCACGCGTTGCTGCAGTGAGCTCACGCGTTGCTGCAGTGAGCTCACGCGTTGCTGCAGTGAGCTCACGCGTTGCTGCAGTGAGCTCACGCCTTGCTGCAGTGAGCTCACGCGTTGCTGCAGTGAGCTCACGCCTTGCTGCAGTGAGCTCACGCCTTGCTGCAGTGAGCTCACGCGTTGCTGCAGTGAGCTCACGCGTTGCTGCAGTGAGCTCACGCATTGCTGCAGTGAGCTCACGCCTTGCTGCAGTGAGCTCACGCCTTGCTGCAGTGAGCTCACGTGTTGCTGCAGTGAGCTCACGCGTTGCTGCAGTGAGCTCACGCCTTGCTGCAGTGAGCTCACGCGTTGCTGCAGTGAGCTCACGCGTTGCTGCAGTGAGCTCACGCGTTGCTGCAGTGAGCTCACGCCTTGCTGCAGTGAGCTCACGCCTTGCTGCAGTGAGCTCACGCGTTGCTGCAGTGAGCTCACGCATTGCTGCAGTGAGCTCACGCGTTGCTGCAGTGAGCTCACGCCTTGCTGCAGTGAGCTCACGCATTGCTGCAGTGAGCTCACGCCTTGCTG